ATAATAAACTTATATTTAAGAATGTAAATACATATTTAGAATATGATTATTTACAAAAAAATCTTATTAAATTTTTTATCAATTGAAGTTGAACTTTTTTGACTTGCATAAAAAAAAAACAAAAAAAATTTCATTATCATTATTTATAATACCTTTTGGTAAAATTTGTTCTCATTGTTAACCTTAACAAATGTTAAATTTATTAATTCTATTTAGTCACTGAAAATATAAAAAATTCATTTGATATATCAGTAAAAATATTTATTTTCATGTAGAATATAAGGTAGTTTAGAACAAATATTTACCAGAAATAAGGATTTACTTAATTGAATTAAATTGAGTACATTAAATTCAAATGTTCTATTAACTTTCAATATTTAAAAAAACAAAAATTTTCAAGCATTATCACATTTTTAAGAATCATTCTGGAATAATTATGGTTAATGAGAATTTATTATTATCATTTTTGAAATTTTTCGACATTATCCTAAAATCTATTAAGCTAACATTATATATATTCTCCGGAAAGATGTCGAAGAAGATTTTCTCTTTTAGTACATTACTAGATTAATAGACAACTACCTGAATTAAAAATGGTAAGAATTTTAGAGATTAGAATTTTATTATTGAAGAAAATGCTATCAAAGAAACAACATTTTGATTTATTATACTTTTCATAAAACAACTTGGTTCTACATTGTTAAGTTTTTTATATAAATCCCATCCATTTATTCTGCTTACTTCATATATATATGGAGTCTTAGAAGAAAAAAGTGATTTCGATGTTCAAAGCATAAGTAATTAATAGAACTATGATGAAAATGGAGCTATACAATCTTAGAATATTCTATTCGAGTTTTTCAAGTATTGTGGTAATCAACTTGTGTTTTTTAACTAAGTTCATTGATGACATGGGTTGAAATTTAAAATTCCTTAACTTTTCATTTATTTGAATTCTTGCTTTAATAGTAATCATTATACAGTTTATTATCTGTTTATATGCTTAAATCTACTATAATGAGATACTCATTCAGGATTCTATATCAATTCATTCTTTAATTAATTTTTAATATATTATATGAAACATCTCTACTATAATTGTTATAAAGAGATTATTTTTTATTAAGGTTGTAACTTAACTTTCAATGAATCAAACTCGAATTTCGATTGAGTTACTTGTTATGATTAATGCATTTATTAAGTCTCATCTGTTATTTCTTCCAATAATTCCATATTAAACCTATCTAAAATTTCATATTATTGATTCTTATGGCAAAGTCTTAAATTGCTCCTTTTGATTTATAGAATTTAAAGTATTTTTTATTTATTAGTTTTTTTTAATTTTTTACTCGAAAATTGTCTAGAAATAAAAGTCAATTAAGTTTCATAATGACTTTTATAGGGTATTTATGATTTCAAATTTTGCAACAAATATTTGATTACTTCTTATTTTAATTACTTTTTGTTCAGAAAAAAAATAGCAATTTATAAAGATATTCAAATTAAATTGCTGAAGAAAGTTCACAACCAAATTATTTTTTCTGCTCTATCAAAATTTAGTTTAGATCATAAGAAAAAATAATTATCTCTTAGAATAAGTGAGACAACTGATAATAGTAGTTAATGGTTTGGAAAAGCGGCGAATATTTATAATGATAAATTACAAATTATCTCAAATACATAGTATTATATTGTTGTATCAGTGTGCCTATGAGAAAGAATCAGAAAAAAACAGTTTTGATTTAAACCTGAAAAATAATTGATATTTTGAAATTTCAAAAATGAATGAGAAACAATAGGTGTTTATAGGTATTTATTGATTTTTATTTCATAAACTTACCACACTATCATATGATAATCGCAAGGTTTGAATTTGAAGATAATATCTTAAAGTAAAATTAATTAAAAAATTGAATAATGATGTAAAAGAATGTATTTATTAAAAGAAATGTATTTTCCTTAAAACTATTTCCATCATCACATTCCTCTTTATGTATCCACTACAACTAATTTATCTCCTCATATTTTTTTGCAATAGTAATTCTCTGGAACATACCCAGGTAATTCTCAGTTTAAAAAAGTGTATGTAGCATATTTACAAGAAGAACATCCAATTCTACAAAAATATTTACAATTTTGGCATCCATTGGTATCAACTTGATTCCCACCATCATATTATTCTTATCCGACTACAAGATAATCTCCGAAAGTAGATTAGCATGTTGAACAAACCATTTTACATGTGCAAGTTAAACAAGATAATGGACAATCCAAACAATCATAAGAATCATTATCATAATAGTAATTAATTAAAAGCTCTTCTTGTGAAAATTTAACAACATTTTCAACAAAATCGCTACTCCATTAAGTACATGTAGTTTCATTTAAGCATTATAAACAATTAGGTTAACATTTATGAACAGCTACATAATAATTTAAAAATCCACAATAAGCTTTTATTTGATCCTAAGCATTCCTAACTTATTGTTAATGTATTTTTATGATGATTTATTCTTTCATATATGAATTTTTCTCCATTAGAATATAAATTATTATAACTTTTGGTTGATTTGGAAACTGGCTCATTTTTTTCAACTGTATAAATAAATAAACCATCTGAAGGAAATTCTGGTCCATAGAGTATATAAAATGTGATAGTAATGAATCCTTTAAAATTTAACTTAAGCTCATTCTAAAGGCCTCCAAAAATTCTTTATTAAAGTGAATGCCAATATAAAATTTATTAATATATAACTAATCCTTTTAACAGATTTGTGTCATTTTTTTTTAAATTAGTGTATATTATGCATATTACTCAGGATCTTGTGCTAAAGCTAGAAAGTCTTAAACTAAATATCATGAGTCTAGATAAATAAAAAGTTAATATAAGGTATTTCATAATCAAAATCGTAAAAATAATAACCATGTGAATTTAAATATTGTTCTGAACAACTTACAATACAAGTATATTAGAATTAATACTTATCTAATTTTATTGTTCTTATTCCTATAGTATCCATTTGCACAAGTCTTACATTTAAATGATACCTCACACAATTAACAGTTTTTTTTTGGAAAAAAACCTGGAGTCATTTAAACATGGTTTAATCCCCATCCAGCTATGCCATCATTAATTTAAAATAGTTGAATTTTAAGAATAATTTCCTATTGCTGAAAATAGAATTGGATATTTAGGGATATCAATATATGCAATTAAATAATACATGTTGTTTGAGGTATAATTTAAATAAGACGGGCAGAATTAAACTTAAAAATCCAGTAATCATAAGAATTTATGATATATACATGTTGTGGGTCGTATATATTAAACCGAAAAAAGTATTTAACCATAATGATTATAATTCAATAACATTAGCTAAGATATTTAAATTCAATACTTTGAAAAGATTAAAAAAATCCATTATAGTATGAAGGATTATCAATAAAGCAAATGTCTCTGCATCCTGATTCTTGATGATAATATTAATTAGATCGACAGGGAAGACAAATATAGTTTGTAGGTAATCCATAATACAACTTGTACATCAATTGAATTTTGAACTTGTGCATTATTTACAAGTAGGGTAACATTTGGGAGCTGAAACAAATATATTTTAAACAACAAATAACCAGATATTGAATTAGGTGTTTTCATTATAAAATTAAAAGCCCTAATATCATAAGTAACGTCATCACAAAATCCAGAGGCCATTTAATAATTTTTAGGTGAAGTGTAGTGATATGTGTATGAAAATGAGTCTATCGTAATAGTAACAATCTCAGATTTCCATGTACCTTAAAAATATAAATCCATAGTAAAAAAATATCCTTTATTATAATAATATTTATCACCTTATTAAGCTGATAGATTTGCATATAATATTTTCCATTATGAATTCACATCTTCAATTAAG